ACATCTATTCCTTCATTTCCTCCTATTCTTGACCCATACTCATTTCGAACTTCTCTGAAACCACCTTGATCACGAATTAACTCTAACACCATCTCCTTGGCTTGCTGAAGTAGAAAAAGTTAGCCAGTTTAGAAGGCACGTCTCAAAACATTTTAACTACTCATCCATGGTTTCCCCATTTTGTCACCCAATCCCAAACCCCTTTTTATAAAATATAAAGTTGTTAAATTTACTTGAACTTTGTATGGGTCTCCAGTAATCCTAAGAGGTTTGTCAGCACCTGTGTTTTGAGGCCCATCTTGAATCATGACCATTTTAACTCCAGCCCGCTCCTGTTACAATTATAGAGACCATGTGGATTAACAAATGAGAGGTTGAGAGAAAACTGGCATCAAAATAGACTAAAAAATAATTATTATATAAACATAGTAATACCTGAAGTTGTTTAATAGTTTCTCCTCCCTTCCCAATAACTAATCCTGCCTTGCTAGCTGGAATCATTATTTCTTGAACTGCATTTCCTGGTCCATCACCATGATGAAAGCCAGGAGCTGGTCTTCCTTTTTCAACAATCTGGTCCAGTAACCGTTTTGCTGATCTGTTAACAAATTATTATTTAAGTAGTGAGCTGCAACACACCAAAAAGCTTACCCAAAAAGAAATATAAAATAATATAATCAGAAACTCCTTCCAACCCAACTCAGGCTGAAGTGGCTTACAGTTAAATTTTAATAATGCTTTTAATTTTAATTAAAAGAAAATGCCACTAAGGTTCAAAGATCCTAAAATCATACATTTTCTAGGTATACAGTTTTTAGTATTTTGGAGAACAGTTTTAATTTTCTAAGAAGTAGAAAATTAAATTTATCTCAGAATTAAGCAGATTTCTCTAAAAATGTGATATAGTTACATTTTTTAAATTACCACTTTGCTCACTCACATGTTAAAATTCACTGATTTCTCTAGAAATGTGATATAGTTACATTTTTAAATTACCACTTTGCTCACTCACATGTTAAAATTCACTGATTCATTCAACAGATATTTAAAAAATGTCAGTAATGTACCAGGAATTCTTCTAGGTAATAGGGATACAGCAGTGAATAAAACAGATAGGAATTCCCGTTGAAATGGCATTTAGCTTCATTAAATAAGTAAAAACAACATGTCAAATAAATAACATGTAATTTAGAAAGTGCTATAAAGAAAATCAAAGCAGGGTAAGATTAACAGAATGTTAAGTGGGAAGAGAGATTTTATACAAAATAGATATGGAAAGACAGTTGAATAAAGACCTGAAAGAAGTGGGGGACTGACTATGGAAATATCTAGAAGAAAGTGCTCCAGGGAGAAGAAACAAGAAGCACAAATGAGGAGCATACTTTGGTCAACTGAAAGACTTTAAAACTATAAAGGACGCTAGTGGGGTTGGAACAGCGAGTTGGAGGATGAATGATAAAAGACTCATCGTTAAAAATCATTGTAAGAGACTATTAGGGATAAGAAAGAAGGTCTGGTTGGGCAGTGCCTAAGGTATTTGACTGCTAAGCAGAAGGTTGGTGGTTCAAATCCACCAGCACTCCATGGAAGGAAGATGGGCCAATCTACTTCCATCAAGATTTATAGCCTCAGAAACCCAATGGGGGTTGCAATGAGTAGGAATTGACTCAATGGTAGTGAGTTTTTTTTTTTTTTTAAATTAGGGATAAGAAGCAGCTCTGGTGGGGCACTGTTTAAGCACTCAGCTGCTAGCCAGAAAGCTGGTGGCTCAAACCCACCAGCTCTTTTGCTCTGTGGAAGAAAAGACTTGCTGTAAGTAGGAATCAACTTGACAGCACCTAACAACAATAAGTAAGGACAAAGGTAAAAACAGTGTCGTTTATATTCTGGGAAACTATACAATAAATATAGGTAAATGGTGTCATGGACTAAAGTGGGAGTATAAAGTTGTAAGGGGCTAAATTCTGAATAAATTACAAAGCAAAAATGACCAAGAGTTGCTCATAGACAAATGGAGCATAAGAAAAAGATAAAGTTTTAAAACAGAATTGCCGTATGTAAGATAGGATTAATAAAAGAAAAAAGCAGATTGGGGATGGGGTATAAATAAAGGGATCTGTTCTGAAAAATCTAAAATTTGAGATGAGCGTAATGCCTAAGGCATTTGAGTGCTAACCAGAAGGGCTGGCGGTTCAAACCCATCAGCCACTTCTCTGAAGGAAGATCGGGCAATCTACTTCTGTAGTAACACAGCACCTTGGGAACCAAAGGAGGGGTCACTATGAGTCTGATCCAACTTGACAGCAGTGAGCTTGGTTTGGTTAACAGATATTCCAGTGATACTGAGTGGTCAGTGGGATATATGAATCTGGAATTTAGAAAGAGATTAAGGCTGAAGATAAAAGTTAGGAACATATACAAGTTTTGGTATATAAAGCCATGGGATTAAATGATGCCACCTAAGGACTGTATAGGAGCTCTGGCAGTATAGTGCCTAAGGCACTTAACTGCTAACCAGAAGGCTGGCGGTTCAAACCCACCAGCCACTCCTCGGAAGGAAGGTTGGGCAATCTACTTCCATAGTGATAATGCCTTGGAAACCCAAGGAGGGGTCGCTATGAGTCGGGTCTGACTCCATGGCAAACAACAACAAAGGAGTGTGTATAGATGTACTTTGTAAGGCCTAAATTTTGTGGCATTTCTATGTTGAGAGGCCAGAAGATAAAGTGGAACAAGCAAAAGACACTGAGGAAGAGTAGCCAGTGAAATAGCTGTCCCAAGGCCAAATAAATCAAGTATTACAAGGAAGGTGACTGCTGTGGAGGTCATTTATGACCTTAGCAAGTGCCAATTTCAACGCAATGATGTGAATAAAAGTCTGGCTGGTCTGACTGCAAGAAAAAAATGAGTAACAAATCAAACAAACAAAACTGGCAGCTAATATGGGAAGTAGAGTTACCTTCTTTAAGTTTTCAGTAAAAGGGAGTAGAGAATAACCATGTGATCCTCAACCTAAACAACTGTGAGACCAGAATATCTAGATGGTGCCCAGCTACCAATGTCAACCACTCTGAGGGGGATCTATGAAGGAGATCCTGGATAGTGTGAGAAAACAATGTGGAACAAAACTCAAAATCATTTGGGGGGGGGGGGGAATAAAGGAACCGGGTCTGCTGGTCTGACAAAGCCTAGTGGAACCACTGAGACTATGGTCCTTAGCTGCCCCCTTCAGGTCTGGAATTGAATCCACTCCTGTGGCTTCCAGCCAAACAAAAGATAGGCATATGAGGTGAGCATTTATACTAGGTAGATATACTCCTTTGGGAGAACAATCATGGGAGAATAGAAGGGCTGTGTATGCACAGGGACATAGCTCAGGGGGCAGGAATGCATGGAGGGAGAGCACAGGGAAGAGGTAACTACGGGAAAGAAGTGGGATGGGAGCTGTTGCATTGTGGTAAACTGTAGTCAATGTCATGAGACAAAGTGTATGTGAACTGCTGTATGGAAAGTACATTTGGTCTGTAAACTTTCACCCAAATCACAATTAAAAAAAAAAAGGGAGTAGAGAATAGAAATATGGGATGGTTTTTGCTAAGAATCAGTAGGAGGCATGTATCTAGGCATGTTTGTATGTTGCTAGAAATGATTTAAGAGAGATGGGAAAACTAATTAAGGAGGAGAAACCGTTTCAGTTGTAGAGACAATGTCCTTCAGTATGAAGGAAAGGTTGGCCTTAAGCATATGAGAACAAAGGAAGGCAGGATTGAGTACTATACATTAAGAGCACAGATGAAAAAAGGCTGTTAGATTTATGGGTAGGGAAGATGGAAATGTTTCTTATTCTTATGATTGTTTCTGTATTTCCAATAAAATAAACTGTAGTTGGTAAGAGGGGAAGAGATGCTGAAGACCTGGAGGGGGAAAATGAAGTATCAAAGGAGGAGGAAGAGTGAATACATAGGGAAATGTAGGTAACACAAAGGTCCACTCAAAGTTGATGGTGATTAAGTTTTAGGGGTAATCAGTTGATGTAATTATGCATCTTCTCCAAGACACATTCAGCTTCTTAAGTACAGGTCACATACAGAGTCAGTTTTAATTATTTTCTGTGTTCTGTAGTCCACATGAGGAACCCTAAGTGATAAAGGCATAGGCATAAACTTCAGAAGAGTTGGGAAAGTTTTAGGGAAGGGAATTTTACCAGTAATTAAGAGCAAAGACAAAGTTCAAAGAACCATCACATTATAACTGTAAGTAAAACTTTACAATTGTCATACTTACTGGACAGACTCAGGTGTTCCAGTTAACATACAAGATCTTTCTGGAAGGCCACCACTGTCTACAATTAAAATCAAAACCAGAAAATTTTAGAGGAAGAAAAGATTAATAGGTGGCATTATTTTCACTAGCAACTTAAAAACATACTATGCTATTTTTCTAGTCATTTTGAAATATGAAGAAAATAACAGTACCAGGAGCTATCTGTATTTTGCATCCAGATTCCTGTTGTATGCGTGAGATCTGTTCACCTCCTCGGCCAATTACTAGTGTTTTTTAAAAACAAAACAAAAAGCAGTTGAAAGGTTGTAAAATTTCTTTTGATTATATTTACAAAGTTTTAAAATTATGTTACTTACTGAATCCAACCATTCCATCTGGAACTTTGTATTCTTCTGTCATTACAGACCTGCTAGACACACCAGAAACAAGGACAATTCGTTTATATACAAAATGTCATCTACTAATAAAAAGCTTAAGTCTAATGGCTTAAATTAAGGTTCTAGGTGCATATTCATGGCCAAAATATGGCCTACCATTTGAGTAAACTCAGTATCTTAATTAAGGTGACACATATTAAATAAGGTAGGGATGCTATATGCAACAGTCGGAAGGTTTGAATTGAAAAGGATTTGGGGGTGGAGTTCAGGGAACATCATCTTAAATTATACTAATTCACCCTTCTTCTTGTTGTTGTTATATGCCATCGAGTCGGACCCGACTCATAGCGACCCCTCCTTGGGTTGCCGAGGCAATATTACTATGGAAGTAGATTGCCCCATCT